CCGAGTGTTACAGTCGGCTTTGCTAACCCATTTCACAATTTCCTTGGAAAATCTCAAGCATCTATTCTTCCCTGTAAACTTTGCAATCAGCTTGTCATGTTTCCCTGCAAACATGCCGCAAACAAACAGAAGACACCAAACCTGGAAAGCCAGCAGCCAGCTGACAAACCAGGAGCACACGGTCCCCGCCGCCCCGAGTCAGCCTCTCTCCACAAGACGAGGCACAGCCACAGGAAGAGGCACAAACGTTTAATTATTCCTTTAAATAACCTTTGAATTAAAGAAGTAAAAACTCACTCCTAGAAAGCTGGTAGAAAAGGAAAGGAATTCATATCAAAAACCTCTGGGGCACAAACCAAACCACAACTGGGGAAGATGTGACAACACCGAACGCTTTTGCTGTGGGAAGAGCGAGCCCGACGTAAATGCATCACTTCCTCTAAGAAATCAGAAGAATTACAACCCAAAAGAGGATGCTCACAGGGTTGAAAGGGGATTAACGAGGCAGAAATGGGGCAAGAGCTGGGAGCTGACTCTTCGAAAAGACCCGTAAGACAGACGAGCCGTTGGCAAGTTAGATTAAGAGAAACCGACGGAAGTCTCCAACGCGGACAGAAACAGGCCTGGCTGCAGGTGTGAATAAGGTCTAACTCCTCACGTAAATGGACCGGTAAACAAGCGAGCCGGTCCTCGGCAACGTGTTTAAAAACACGAGACGGACGTCTCCCTTGTGTCGAGAACTGACCCCGGAAGAGAGGGAAGCCTCAGCCAGAGCAGTGAGGGGAGAGCCGCACCGTTTAAGGGGCCAGGGGTGCAGCGTGTCTGCAAGAAGCTCCCTTCAGCCTCCCGGGAGAGCTCAACTCTCAGGCTATGCAGACGATGCCAGGTGGCCGAAAGACGGATAGCTCGCCAGTTCATTCTGTGCAGACAAAACACTCTTCACACAAAGCATCTGACACCTGCGGCTGGCACACGGGCGCAGACGCCCTTGACGAGCCCTCAGGAGCCCTCCCGCGCCGCCGCCGAGCCGCCCTGCCCTCCAGCCTCCGCTTTGCTTCTGGAACCTGGACTGAAGCTTGGCCTGGGCCCCGAGGCGAGTGCTCTGGAGAAGAAGAGGGGAGGGTGTGGGAGACGCAGGGTGCAGGCATGTGAGGAGCTGGTGGACGTGGCGAGTCTGGGTGCCAAGAGGGCGCCGCGGGCCCTCTGAGCGACGAGGCTGTGGCCCGGCCCCAGCCTGAGGATAACATCGGGCAGCCTCTCCCAGTGGGTGGGGGGTGATGCTGGGTGGGTGCCAGGCCCCCCGCCGCGCCTCCCGCCGGCTCGGGCCAGCTGCCTGCAGGCCCCCTGGGCGCTGGGTTCAGCGCGTGTCCTAACCCTTGGGCTCGGTTCTGCATTGTTGATCTACTGAATTCCCAGGGTAGCCCTGGAAACGGAGGGATTTGCTCTCAAACAAGAATCGTACTGTTTGCATAGCACAGCCTACCATTTAATTAGAAAAATATGTTTTTAATTAACTTTCTCTTGACAAACACATTGGCTTATGTGAAACGGGGGAAAAATCCAGTCTGTGAGAGTGAAGGACGTTGTGTAAACGGCCACCTGGCTCTGGCGGGTGCTGGCAGCTTGGCAGCCCGGCCTGGGCGTGAGGGGGCGGCGGACAGCGGGGAGCGGGGCCCTGTGACCCCAGCCCCCCGCCGCTGGGAGCGCGTCAGCCTGGTCTGCTGTGGTACAGAGCGCCCTGGGCCTCCGGCGACTGAGGCGTGTCTGAAGCCTCTCCCAGGCGCCCACCACCGTGGCCAGCAGGTTACAAAAATTGGGAGAGACTTTCCTCAGAGCTGGAGACCAGGGACTTGAGGGTTCCCGAAAGATGGAGAGCAGAGGGAGCCAACTGGCCCGAAAATAGGAGAATCGATAATTGCCTGGATTCAGAAAAATTTGATGCCATTCTGATAGACTTCGGCACACACACTTCCCCAAACAGCTGACGAAGCAGGAGGATGGACGTGGGTAGGAAGACCCCAAAGGCCCTCTGCGCCCACGTGCGGAGGCCTCAAGGGCTGGAGCGGCTGCGGGACGAGGAGGGGGGCCCCGAGGGGTGCGGGTCACGTGGGTGAGGCTCCAGGAAGGCCCCCTGGAGGCAGGCAAGTGCCAGGGTGGAGGAGCCTGGGGACACCGCAGCTGTGCCCTGAGGTCAGGGCCTCACCCCCCTATTCCTGGAGCAGGAAAGTTCTGGTGAGGACTCGGCATGGCCTCTCTGCCCACTCCCACCACCGCTCCTTGGAACCTTCCCCTCTGCCTTTCGCTGGGGCCTGAAATGTCTGGACAGAGACACTTGAAGTCCCTGAGGGGTCCGCTGTGCTCCCAGCCTTGAGCGAGGCCAGACCCCCTTCCTGAGCCCATACGTCACACTCAACTGTGGCTCAGCAGAGCAGTCAGGCCTGGAATCCGACCTGAGGGTCTCGAATCAAAATGAGAATAGAGTTATGGCAAGAAACGGGGATCATGTCAGAAAATGGTCATTGATGTTCAAGATGGTGAGACCAGGTGGGTGCCGGACAGATGGAGAAAAACACAGAGCCAACCCCAGGCCGCGTGGAGGCGTGGCGAGTGGACAGTGCGTCGAGGTCGCAGGGACCGAAGTTCTCCCCGACTTGGGAGACGTGGGAGGGGAGGTTCAAGGTCAGCGAGGAGGCGGGGCCCGGGAGCAGGGTGTGAGTCACTGGACAAAGACTGGGGTGGGGGGGCGGCGCAGCGGTGCTTTTAGGGGGAAAGGACTTGTTCAAACCAGAGAGAGACCTGATCCCGCAGGCGGAGAGGCCCCACGCCCAGGCAAAAACGACCGGCTCAAGTCGCTGTGACGGCGGCGTCTGTGCAGCTCAAAGCTCAGCTGGCTCTCTGGCTTTCTCTCGGAAGGAACAGCTCACAGCCTGACACCCTCCCGTTTCCTGACACCGTCTGAGACTGAGGTCAGAGGACAAACAGCTCGCCTGAAGCCTGAGGAAAGTCAGACCCCACAGAAGAGACGGGAGGTGAGCCCGACTCACCGAGCCACCTGCGCTCACCAAGAATCCAGCTGACCCCAGCCGTGAGGCCAGAGCTCTAAGACGGCCTGTGACCTTGGGCCCCTGAGGTCGTCCCGAGATGGCGCGGGGAAGGCTCTGCTCAGCTGGCTCCGAGTTAACCCAACGGGAGGGGCCCAGGCGGATGGGGAGGTGTTGGCGGGAGGGCGATTCCACCTGAGGGCCCTGCTGTCACTGCTACGTGACAACCTCGGAGAAGACCCGTGCAGGGCCAGGGCAGCCTCTAGAGACAGCTGGGAAATGGGCCCAGGGGACGTTCTGCATGAGCCTGTGAGGGCGCTCTCCCCGGAGCCCCAGGGAGGATGGGGGCTGGGGCCCAGCCCCCAGAGTGTGGAGTGGGAGAGGGACCCCGGCCCTGCAGAGGGGCTTCAGGCCTGAGGACTGGGAGCTCACGAGTGGAGGGAAGTCACCAGTCTGTAGTGACCCACAGCACAGCTGCTGGGGAGGAGGGTGCCAGATGGGGGCTGCTGTGGAGGTAAAGCCCCTGGCTGGGCAGACACGGCAGGGCTCAGAACCGGGGGCCGGGTCTTCAGGGGCCGCACACTGCAGGGGAGAAAGATGGAGGTGGGGCAGGTCTGGAGGAAGGCAGCGCCCCGGAACACAGAAGATCTCTTAAGCCCCAGGGCACAGGTGCGGGGCCCCGGCGGCTGGGGGAGGCCAGTGGCACAGCAAGGGGTCCCGGGCCAGCCACCAGAGTCCCTGAGCACAGGGGACCTGTGACACGACACATTCTCTTCACGCTTAGCACTGAATAGTAGGGAAAAAATGTTTCAATTGTTCTAGCCCCGCCCCCTCCCCCCACAAGAGGTGACTAAGAGAGGGGAACAGGGATGAGGCCAGGATGCAGGCACTGGAGGAAAGAGGCGAGGAGATGACCCCAGAGTCCAGGGACAGAAAGAAAGTTTTGGGAAGCATCAAACGTAGCAAGTGTCCTGTGAGCCACAGAGGAGAGGCAGAGCGTGTGAGTTACCACAAAACTTGTAAGTGGAATAAATTCCCCAGGGACAGGGAAAGACCCCCCCAAGGTAGGACTGGAACCAAAGCCAGGCTGATGAAGTGGTGGCCGAAAGTATAAGAAGCAGAAGCCTGGAGGCCAAGACGGGGACCCCGGGGGGCACTGCCTGCATCAGGCAGAGTAGAAGTCAAGACAACGGCACGTGACAGGGCGTGAGGCCTCCAGTCCGGGAAATGTTAGAGGGCGCGTGTCATAGGCATCCACCAGTTAAAGACCCTTAGAAGCAAAAGAGACCTTGCCAAAAAATATGGCCATGAGGAAGCTCAATACACATTCCTGGCTCTGATGAATTCAGAGACAGAATCAGTGTGGAATGTTTGAACGACGTACTTGTAAAGGCTGATTTAATGGGTGTATTTCAAAAAGCGTCACCTGCAAACAGAAAATACTGTTCTCAAGTTGGATGGAACAAATACAGGTGGACATACGTGGAGAGTGGGGCCAGCCCTGCCCCGCCTCTGCTGGTTTCTCAGGCCACCCATCTCCCGGGCACCTCGCGAGTCCCCAGCTGGGCTCCTGGCCCTGTGACTGACTCCACGTCTCTCCCCTGCAGTGGCAGCCACCAGGGTCTTCCATCTCACAGATCTTTTCTGCCCAAGCTCCCCTCTGCTTTCCGCCCCTCACCTGTCGGAGGCCCCTCCTTGGGGGCTCCGGGCCCAGGGGGGACCCAGGCCCCTGCTGCCTGCCCGGCTCCTCGGGGCCCTCCAGGCCACCCCTCCTGGTCCTTCTATGGGCTCCCCTCCTCACAAGATGCTTGGAGGGGGCTGGCCTGCAGCTCCAGGCACTTGTAGGTCTGGGAGCCCTGACTCGCCCCCGCATCCTACCTGATCTCTCTGCTCTGCTGCCTCCACCAGCTGCGTCTCTCTAGCGTGGGGCCTGGGGCTTCCGATTCCCTGATCCCTCTGGGGGTCCTGGGCTCCCTCAGCTGTTCTCCACGCTCTGAGGCCCTCAGAGAGCTCCCTGAGAACGGTGGCCGGGGGCCCCAGCTGCCCAGACCCAGCTGCACCCTGGCCTCGTCCTGCCGGGGGTCTTAGCGCACCCCTAAGGGGGCTTTGACGTGTGGGTCCAGTGGGGGGATGCGGGGGTCCCGGTGAGAGTGAGGGGATCTGGGCCAGGTCCCACCCACCCAGGCCCGGCCCCCATCACAGGCCCAGACTCCTGACTTGAAACCCTCAGCCCCTGTGGCTACATTCATATCCCAAAGCCCAGCGCATGGGACATTTACCCCAGGGCCACTGTGCACCCGCCTTTGGTGTTTGTCAGCATAAATGGGCCCTGAAGCAGTGTAAACGTGACCCCACACATTTGGAGAGTTCCGAGGTGAGGCCAGAGTCACACAGCCCCCGCCAGCCTGGGGAGGCAGGGGTCTGCCCCGACTCCGCCCCTCACTGGCTGTGCCGCTGGGGCCGCGTGCTCGCTGCTCAGGACTGGGTTTCCCCAGCCTGGAAGATAAAGGCTAGGACGCCCTCAGGGACAGCTCTGCTGGGGGGTGGCCCCGATGGGCTGTGCAGGGGCCCACGTCCCGGGAGGCCGCCTGCTCCAGCCCAGCCGGGACCTCTGCCCACAAGGACTGAAACCTCCCCTCCCCCAGAAGCTGTCTCAGCACCCCCCCCCGCGCTGGGATGTGGGGGGCTGGGGGCGGGGCGTCCCCACCTGGAGCCGCTGCTTCTCCAGGCCCGCCGCTCGCATGCTCACCAGGTGCTCGGTCTCTAGGCGCCGGAGCGCCTTCCCCTGCAGGGCCCGCGCGGCCTGTGCGCTGCTCACCTCACGCTCCGCCTGGCGCCAGCCTGTGGGGCAAACGGGGCGGCTCTCCTGGCTCCCAGGGCTGCAGGGCTGGGACCACCCCCTCCCGTTTCACTGGTTGGGAAACTGAGGCTCAGTGAGCTTAAGGGCCGGCACCTAGATGGTGGGGATGGGAGCGGCGCCCCCTCTGACAATTCCCTGCTCTTCCCGTCCTGCCTGGAAGCTCAAGGTCCCTGGGGAGTCTGGGGTCCAGTTCCCTCTGCCTGACTCCAGGCGCCCCCCGGCTCATCCTTCTCTCCTGCTGGCTTTGCTCCCAGACATCCCTGCCCCAGACTCTGTGCCAGCCCTGGGCCTCCTCCTGGGCAGACCCGATCGTGAGGGGAGGGGGCCAGAACTGGGGTGCGGTGACCAGCAGGGCCAGGGCCTCTCTGAGGAGGTGACCGGGGCAGGGGCCTGAGGGGCACAAGGCCCTGCGATTGTCTGGGGAGGAGGGTACCGGGCGGCAGACGCAGCCAGTGCAGATGCCCGGAGATGGGAGCAGTGGGAGGCGGGGGTGGCGGAGGGGCTGGCGGCGGAGGGGTGGGGGTGGCGCAGGTGGGGCCTCGGAGTCTCTGGACTGTGCTCCCCTGTGACGGGGAGGCCATGGCTGGGAAAGACCCACGAGCTACCAGGTTCCGGGTGTGCTACGGGGGGCCCTGCCGCCCAAGCCTGAGTGATTCCCAGGACGGCACGGCACGTGTGGCCAGGAGCTGAGCTCTGGGGGGCCCCAGGGCAGCGGGGGGAAAGGGAGGTCACCTTCCTCTGCCTCGGCCAGAGCCCTCTGCAGCTGCTCCGCGCGGCTCTGGGCTCGGGCGCGCTCGCTCTCTGCCTCACTCAGCCGGCGGCTCAGGCTCCCGACCTGGGAGCGCCAGGTGTCCTGGGGAGGAGGACCAAGGTCAGGCGCCGGCGGGTGAGCAGAGGGCCAAGGTGTTGGGCTAGAGGGTGGGGGGAGGGTGGGGCAGCTCATGGGTGCTCGGGGCAGGGCAGTGGGCGGGGTGGGCTGTGGACGCAGGAAGGCCAGGCCGCGTGGGGCAGCTGAGCTGACCTGCAGGTGCTGATGGGGGCACCGAGGGGCAGGAGTGTGGGCTGGGCTCCAGTGTCCAGGTCTGGTACAGACACAGAGTTGGGGAGTAGGGCGTGCAGGGCGACCTGACCCTGAGTGGGGCCCGAGCCTGCCCCCGGGGGCTGGCACTGGGGGCAGCGGGAGCCAGAAGGTGAGCGAGTGTGGTGGCGGGCCCCGGACCAGGGCTGAGTGACTGTCCGTCTGTCTTTCCCAAGCCCCTCCGCGTGGCAGTCTGGGGG